TTCGCCTTGGGCCCCCAATTTGCTAAATCCGCCACTGAAGGCGCACTGTCGTTTTTGAGAAAATTGAAGGCTTTTAAGTGCGCCTTATAGTGCGGAAAATACGGTAATCTGTGATTCTGAATGCCAGTATCCACACCAGCGCGGCGAATGACAGCCGCACACTCTCCTCAAAACATTATGTTCATCCGTGCTGTGCCGAGCCGAGGCACAACCCGCGTAAAGCTGATAAATCTGCAAATAACTGCAATTGCAGATTTCGAACAGAGATGGCGACAAAGAGGAAAAACTACAGACTGCAGCTTTAATATTTATAAAACAATTAATTTCTCCTTAATAAAAGGATATGAGGAGACATTTAAAAGCAAAATGATTAAATTTATTTGAATGCAAATAAATATTTCTGTTTAAAGCTGTAGTTATTAACCAGGAAAAAAAATATATTCTGCATAATGCAGGACTTTTAATTATAAACAAGCCAAAATACACCAGGAATCTTAGTTCGAAATGTCTTTACTACTTCCAGCGGCTCTTTAAAACAGATGAAAGAGATCAAATATGCACTCTTTAAATCATCTAAAAGATATTACAGTAAAAACACCACAAAGTAAACAGAGTCGTAATTAATCAATAGTTGCGTGTCTGTTGAAAGATCCCAAATTTATCCCAGCATTTTCATTGGACTAGTGAAATTTCATTGGTCTTGTCAACAAAGTCTGGTTTTGATGTGCAAGTGCATATGTGATGCAGAGTTCAACAGGACAACTGCCGAGCCGACTGAAGTCAGAATCAGTTATCGTCCAGCGGGACGTGAACGCTCACAAGTATTCAATGCTGTCATTCAATGTGTGCACAAAAAACAGGCACAAAAATAAAGAGAGCCTACGGGGATTTATGTTTGAGCAGCAAGAGAATCAGAGCTGGAGAAAGACCTCTCGTTGCTGCCGTCCAATCAAAATGGCCTTTTATCTCCATCCAAACCGGACACCGGATGGTATGATGTAGGGCCTATTGCTTTAGGATATTATTTAATTCGTAGGATATTGGGTGACCAAATCTCAGAACGGAATACAAAGCCGTCATGCGTATTAATCTAAATTCATGTGTTCACCTTTTTCGTTCAGCACAATTCCAAATGCTCCTATATTGTCGATAAAACATTTGCTAACAAAGCTTTGTAGATACATTACCCTTCAAACTGCGCAATCAAACTGCCAATGGAAACTTCACAAAAACTCCCATATTTCGCGAAAAAGTTTTTACGCTAACATGAGGTGGTTTTTCAGGCAATTCGAAAAAGGAATTTAATATAAAATCGGAAAAGGAATATAATATAAAAAAAGGAATATATTATAAAATATAACAGTTTTTTCACATTTACAGATCACCTGGCGTACGTAAAAGTCGATAATTCTTTAAAGATGACGCGGTATGTTTGGACAGAAGACGAGAAGACGACAAAAGAATTACGGGAATACTGGATTATTAATATCAAAGAAATGCCACAATTTATCAAGACCTTGAAGCAGATATGAAACACCTCATACGTGACGCACCTAAGTATAAGTGGCTTTCCTCGCCATTAATGTTGGATAACACGCCTACGTCTCCTTCCATTAAAAATAACGGCTAGTGCGTTGGCTGAGATACACACAAACCTATTAACATCCGTTGCCATGATTTTTGGAATGACTTAAAACGCAAAAAAAATGACATTTTAGTCACATAACATCGGTTAATGGAAACGCCGTCATTTCGGAATAATTTAATAGAAATGCAGCTAATGTACCTGAACCAGCAGCCTCCATAACATTTTCTGGCATGTGGCATTATCTGTGAGACAAAACGGTAACACTTTACTTGAAAGACTGACATGACACCTTCATAATCATGACATGACATATGTCATGAATATGAAGGACGTTTTATGCATGTTTATGACAACTGTCATTAAGTGTCATTCGCTCAATTATGAAATTTTTAATGCAAATATGACATTGTTTGAGATGCCTTTGTTATGACAACTTGACATAAACCAATACATCATAACCTGTCACTTTGTCATGACAACTTAACATTACTAAGACAACACAACCTGTCATAAACATGACATAGCAGATTAATTATCAAACTTAAGAAACCACTTAGCTTTATGGGTTAACATTACATTAAACTGTCATGTGGTTGGTTTTGACATTGGCTGTCATGAGGCCATTATAACTGTCATGAATTTTTTTCTTGACCACAAATACAGTGGTACAAATTGAATTTGTCATTAAAATGTTATAATGGCCTCATGACAGCGAGCGATTGAGTGAATTGAGCGAATGACACTTAATGACAGTTGTCATAAACATGCATAAAACCTCCTTCTGTCATGATTATGAAGGTGTTATGTCAGTCTTATGCACACCCCTTCAAGTAAAGTGTTACCGACAAAACTATATAGTTTGAAATATATATTTTGAAGACCAGAGACCAAGTTGCACACACATGCCACAATACTTGGTACATAAAACACGGTAACGATCCAGACTTTCTAAAACAGCAAGTTAAACTTGAAAACAATCAATAATAACACTGCAAATAAAATGGTCAAACTGTGAAAAATGCAACCTTATTAATTATTAATAATTATACATTTTTCTACTTCGGGATTGACACTTGCCCATGGGGACTAAATAATATATGGTTATTATCTGCACAATTGTCATAAGTTAGTTCAAACATTTTGAAAATATTAAGTTAATTTTCAGTTAGTGCAGGCTGAAGGGTTGGTCGCAAACACACACCTCTATGCAACACAATCACAATCTCATATCCTTTTGTCAAAACATTGAGAACCGGTACTCACCCCTGCAGTATTGTATAATGTCTATCCTACCACAGATCTGCCTTATTGGAGGTTTGCTAGTTTTCTAGTTGTGCTGTAGCTGCAGGATGTCTCTTACGTCTCTTACGTGCAACAAGAGCAGAAGCACCTCCTCCACAGTCATTATCTCAATAAATCCTCTTTAAATCTACTTTGAGAGTTGTCTTAACTTAACTTAAATATATTAAACAATTAGACAGATGCAGAAGCAGCTTATCTTACATGTCTACCCTAGCCAAACCAACCTACCCTTTTTAAGGTTTTTAAAAAGGTTTTTTAAAACCACACAGTATTAAAAGTTTATATATATATATATATATATATATATTCATGCTGTGTGCTTTACATCACTCCATCTGACGCTTATCATTGGCTACGTTTACATGCAACCAAACAATCTGTTAGTAATCGTATTGATGGTTCAATCCGACTGAAAAGCCTTCATGTAAACACCATCTATCCGATTGAGCTCGATACAAATGAAATTTTGATCGGATTGAAAGGGGTAATTCATTCCTTTTCTAATCCGATCAAGAGGACATGTAAACACTTGATCGGATTGAAACCTGAAACTGGAAAGGACTGCGCATGTGCAATGACGTATGACGTGCGAGCTGCAGTTGTTGTAAAATTAAATGTCATAATTCTCCTACCACTCATCGTCTGTGAAGTGGAGCAGAACTTTATTTTGGGCGAGGGAAGGGGTGTTTTTACTGATTGATAAGTATAAGCTGAATATAAATATAAGTTCATGTGCTCGTCGTCTCCTACTCAGGACCCGAAATAGATAAATATTAAGTCTGTTCTTTAAAAGGAAAAGAACCAATGTAGGAGAATAGTATGTGCAAACACTGGTTTTGTATATTCGTTCAGTGTGCGCATGTCAAAATATATATTCTTATTAGAAGCTTCTGTCATATAAACGCACGCATCAAACCGATCGCTTTATTTAGTGTTCATGTAAACACTAACATTGGATTCATCAGTAGGGATGAATTCATTCCGATTGAAACAAAAGGTGTGCATGGAAACATAGCCATTGTGAGAGACTTGCATGCAGCTTCTCGGCCATGAAACCCATTCCATGAAGCTCCCGCCGCACAGTATCCGTGCTGATATTAATACCAGTTGAAGTTTGGAGCTCTTCAGCTGTGCAATCAGAAGAGCGTTGGCGTATTTTACGCACCATGTGACTCTACATGGTCTTCTGCTTCGAAGCTGACACTTTTTACAGTTGACCGTGAAGTGACATTGCAAGGTCGGCATCCTATCACAATTTCATACTTGAATTCAATAAGCTCTTCTTTTTGCACAAATGCTTGTTAATGCAGTCTGCATGGCTATGTGCTTGATTTTATACACCTGTGGCAATGGGTCTGATTAATACACCTGAATTCTATCATTGATAATATCGTGTCCCAATACTTTTGTTCATATAGTGTGTAAATATACTGTATATCATACAATATTTGAATATACAGTAACAGCACGGTTGTGCAAATGAGATTTGAGAGCTAATAGAGGCCAGGGTTAACAGGGAATATTAACTAAAATGTTGGCCTGTTCCTCACATAAAGCAACTGTACAACGTATGAGTCATATGGGTTTCCTTTGTGGTGCTTTTTTGGAGCTTGACTGCCACTGATCACTGTACTGTAAGTTTCATTGTCTGAAAAGAAAACAGTGAATAGCTTCATTTGTGTTCCAAAAAAGAAAATTTGTTCGGAAAAGCATGAGGGTGAGTAAATGAGTGACAGGTTTTTACTCAATTGAGTCATGTGCCAATAATTAATACAATAGTTGAGACTGAGAGAACTTGACATGCATCATGTTGCCTTTATTTTCTATTAAATTCTCACAGAGTTCCTTTTTTTTTTTGCAATGTAAAAACCGAACAGTGGGTTTACATGTGGTTGAAGCTCCATGCATCTTTTGTTGTTTCAACTTGTTTATTTACTACATGAACAATGCTTAATTTAGCCAATAAATTCATCAAGGCATCTGCAGATTATTTGTTCAACAAAATATTTGGATAAAAGTACATTTTTAACAGTGCACCTTAATCAACATTCTAGGGTCAATCTCAGACCATAAGCCACACACAACAGAAAAAGGGAAAGTTAGCACTCACCATTAAGCATTGCATATTCTCAGGGTTTGCTGAGTTGGAGACAGCAGCATGGTTTGCTGTAGCAGCTTCTGAGGAGATAAAAACAAAGGAGTCGTGGGCTGTCTCTCTCACACACACACACACACACACACACTTGCTATAGAAAACTAACAAAGCTGTGTATGGTGAAAGTTTCTCCAAGTTCCTCACGGTAAGAGACGTCCTCTGTCCCAGGCAAAACCTAAAATACTAAAGACGCAAGATAATTTAATAATTATAATATGACCGCTTGGTGAACCTATGAACCTAAATCATATTTAAACAACTACTGCTTTGTTCACGGTCTCCATGCTACACTAATAATAGTAGTAAGGCTTTCCTCTGTGTATCCTCACAAGCACAATTTTGGCTGTATTATTTTTGTGCCCTTCAAAAATTGCTCTTGAGAAATGTTATGTTTATTAAACATAATAAACATAAAATTGTTAGTGTGTTTAGAAAAAAAAAATGTACGCCCATGCCAATAAACTTTACAGCGTCTTTTACCTTTTACAAAATGGCCTGTAGAAACAACCCCAGGTAATAGTAGTTATAGTAGCAAATTGACAAACTAGTAAAAGAGCGCTCCGATTGATCGTTATCAGCCGATAATAGCTTTATATTCACTCACCTAAAGGAGTATTAGGAACACCATACTAATACTGTGTTTGACCCCCTTTCGCCTTCAGAACTGCCTTAATTCTGCGTGGCATTGATTCAACAAGGTGCTGAAAGCATTCTTTAGAAATGTTGGCCCGTATTGATAGGATAGCATCTTGCAGTTGATGGAGATTTGTGGGATGCACATCCAGGGCACGAAGCTCCCGTTCCACCACATCCCAAAGATGCTCTATTGGGTTGAGATCTGGTGACTGTGGGGGCCATTTTAGTACAGTGAACTCATTGTCATGTTCAAGAAACCAATTTGAAATGATTCGAGCTTTGTGACATGGTGCATTATCCTGCTGGAAGTAGCCATCAGAGGATGTGTACATGGTGGCCATAAAGGGATGGACATGGTCAGAAACAATGCTCAGGTAGGCCGTGGCATTTAAACAATGCCCAATTGGCACTAAGGGGCCTAAAGTGTGCCAAGAAAACATCCCCCACACCATTACACCACCACCACCAGCCTGCACAGTGGTAACAGGGCATGATGGATCCATGTTCTCATTCTGTTTACGCCAAATTCTGACTCTACCATCTGAATGTCTCAACAGAAATCGAGACTCATCAGACCAGGCAACATTTTTCCAGTCTTCAACTGTCCAATTTTGGTGAGCTCTTGCAAATTGTAGCCTCTTTTTCCTATTTGTAGTGGAGATGAGTGGTACCCGGTGGGGTCTTCTGCTGTTGTAGCCCATCCGCCTCAAGGTTGTGCGTGTTGTGGCTTCACAAATGCTTTGCTGCATACCACGGTTGTAACGAGTGGTTATTTCAGTCAAAGTTGCTCTTCTATCAGCTTGAATCAGTCGGCCCATTCTCCTCTGACCTCTAGCATCAACAAGGCATTTCCGCCCACAGGACTGCCGCATACTGGATGTTTTTCCCTTTTCACACCATTCTTTGTAAACCCTAGAAATGGTTGTGCGTGAAAATCCCAGTAACTGAGCAGATTGTGAAATACTCAGACCACCCCATCTGGCACCAACAACCATGCCACGCTCAAAATTGCCTAAATCACCTTTCTTTCCCATTCTGACATTCAGTTTGGAGTTCAGGAGATTGTCTTGACCAGGACCACACCCCTAAATGCATTGAAGCATCTGCAATGTTATTGGTTGATTAGATAATTGCATTAATGAGAAATTGAACAGGTGTTCCTAATAATCCTTTAGGTGAGTGTAGTTTGATCAATGGTCTCTATAAAGACCGAACCGAAGAGCCGATCAGATAACGCTAAAATGACTTCACTACATTCACCGGTCTGGCAGTTCTACCTGGTGTCTGAAAAGTAATATAACGTTAAGTCAAAGGCGTTGATAAACACGCTGAAAAGCGATTATGCGTGTTGATGGCACGCCAAAAATGGAAATACGAATTGGCGTGTCATACATACGCCATTTCATGAGATCAGTCTGGAAAATGACAATAAATTTGCAGCGTCTTTGAGGAGAGTGGAGACATCGCAACGACAGCAAAAAACTAGGGATGTGCGATTTTAGTGCATTTCTTTCCTCCCTAAAATCCCAAACCCAACGTCCAAATCAGCTAGATCAGAGATTATCGTAAAATAAAGTCTACTGTTGCTAAACAGTAGGATGTGCTCGATAATAAAAGGAGTTATTAAAACTGCATTGAGGCGTGAGGGTGATACAGTTTCCTTAGCGGCTTTCTGTGTGTGCAGTGAAACACAGACGAGCAAAGTGAACTTTTACATGATGTGAAGGCCAAGTATGGTAACCCGTACTCTGCATTTAACCCATTCAAGGTAGTGCACACACACATTGGGAGTGGTGAGTATAATCACACACACACACACACAGAGCAGTGGGCAGCCATTTTTGCTGTGGCGCCCAGGGAGCGATTGGGGTTTAGTTGCTTTGCTCAAGGGCACCTCAGTCATTTCCTGCTGGTTTTGAGCATCGAACCCAAAATCTTTGGGTTCCCAGTCTGACTCTCTAACCATTAGGCCACGACTGCCCCTTGTGCATCAGGTTTGCGCCTAAACGGTTAAAAACTGTTTAAAAACATGTCAAAATGCCCAGCTTCGCTTAAAATCAGAGCCATCATCAGAGGTGCTCACACTTTGTTTCTAACATTCATTTAGTCACCATGAAATCAAAATTGACAGTTCTTATTTTTTGTATGGAATATTATGACAGTATGATGTATCCATCCATGCACATCATCATTTTTATTATCCGTGTTCCTTGTAAACTTTAATCAAAATATCTTTCCCTCCCTCCTGCAACGACATCTCTGATGGCAACCTGTCAATCACATGAGATCCACCAATACCAAACCTGTCAATCATGTCGACTTTAAAGGGATAGTTCACTTTGAAATTAATTTTTGGTATGATTTAGCTTACCTCAAGGGCATCCAAGATGTAGGTGTCTTTGTTTCCGCAGTAGTTTCAATTTTGATATTTTTAGGTCAAACCGTTGTTGTCTGTCAGTCATATAATGCAGGTCTATGGTCACCACCTCAAAGAGCATGCACAGAGAAGTCCAAATTAAACATGATTTAATGACTCGTAAATGTAAGTACACATTGTCGGCCTAAGACACGAAACGAGCGGTTTGTGTGAGAAAACGAACAGTATTTATATCGTTTTTACCTCTTGTAACACACAGACCGAAGCGCCGGCGACCTCAGAGTACTTGGACGTGGCTGTGGTTACAAGAGGTAAAAACGATACTGTTCGTTTTCTCACACAAACCGCTCGTTTCGTGTCTTAGGCCATCAATGTGTACTTACATTTACGAGTCATTAAATCATGTTTAATTTGGACTTCTCTGTGCATGCTCTTTGAGGTGGTGACCATAGACCTGCATTATATGACTGACAGACAAGAACGGCTTAACCTAAAAATATCAAAATTGAAACTACTGCGGAAACAAAGACACCTACATCTTGGATCCCCTTGAGGTAAGCTAAAGCATATCAAAAATTAATTTCAAAGTGAACTATTCCTTTAAGCCTGGTTTACACTGTCCACAGACTGTCCGTGCAGCTCGAGGCATTTGTACTTGACATATTTGACATACAATGGAATTGAAGCAACACATTAGCTTTCCATTTGGAGAAACAAAATTTGGTGCATGAAAAGCCGTTGCAGGAGTTCAATTCATTTACAATAGCATTACAGTAGAATATAAACTGGAGAGTACTGTTGTGCCGCCTACTATTTTGAGGCTTGTGAACTGAGATACTGTGATACTTCAGATCAATTTGAAAAAAAATTGCTAAATGAAAATGCACAATTTGCTTATAGAAAAGCAGAAAATGCTCGGGTTACTTTGGTACACTAAATTCAGCACTGTTTTTGACACTTGCTTGTCATGGAGAAAATTTAAAGAAGCCAAACATGATTTATGTTTCCAAACAGCCATTCAACCTATTTAGTCAATACTATTCAAGCATCAAACTACAAAATCTCCACTGCCAGTTACAGATTATTTTTTGATTTAGAGCTGCTTTACCATAGAATTGAATTTTGTTTGCATAATTGATCATTATTTTCCTGTTCATTCCTGTAAACGCAGCTAACGGGAACATTCTCCGAATTTTGGCTAACGTTGAACTCTGACTCCGCTAACTCTGAAGTTAAGAACAAACGTTCATCTAACATTTTTTACATAAGTCCCCCTGTAGTTCATAATTTTATCCCTTAAAACTCATCTTTGATCACCAAAATGACGTATTTAAAAGTTTTTTCTGTGAAAAAAAATCTTCATGCTTTAAAATATCTTGAATGTAACTCGACACCCTTGCCTCATTTAGTATACGCGGTTCTATGAATATGCAAATGAGCCCCGCCTCCACTCACTCACTCAGCTCAGAGATCCACTGGTTGACGATCACATGTTGATCTGATTGGTTACAAGGTCGTTTGTGACGTCAGAAACACCAGCGGTTTCAAACCGTGTTTTTGAGACTGTCTTTGGTTCACTGCAGTTTTAACCAGAAAATACTCAGCAATGCTGTCGACTTATGAATTAACAGATGGTGTGTCTTAAAGCATATTAAAAACGCCACATAGACATATAAACAACATTAAAAACTTGATTTTCACCACAGGGGGACTTAAAATGTAAATGTATATTCAAAGTAACATTCCTGTAATGTTTGCAAAATAGAATTTCTCTTAACATACATTATATAAAGCGCTGTATAAATAAATGTGACTTGATTTCTTATTGTCACTTGGAAAAATAATCTGTTTGTGAGCTCCACCAAGTCATAATTGTTATGTAACTTCATCGGCTCCAGGCACTGTTGGACCAAAAGCACAAATCTTATTGGTTGGCCAGTGTTTTAATGTTGATCTGAACAGACACTAACAGTTGTCGACTCAAAATGGTTATCGTCACACTGCATT